CCCGAAAAAAAAAAAAAAAAAAAAAAAAAAAAAGAATGAAAGAAGGTCTTCTTACAGAGCAAGCTGTCCAGAGACTGGGACCAGGGAAGGGGGTCCAACTTGGGCCCTGGATGAACAGGTGGGCTCCAGGAATGAGACCAAGAGCTCCCTGAAGGCAAGCCCAGAGTGAGCTACCTCTGCCTCTGATGGGAAATTGTGCCAAATGACCCATGTCACTCATACTTGCACCTACTATGTGTCAGCAGGTCCCTAGCAAGGGCTGTGTTTTCATCCCTTTTCGCCCCAAAATCCAAAAGACAGCAGTTTGGTGGCTGCTAATGTTGCAGTTGAGGGTCACACTGGAGTCAGCCTCCCTGGGCTTGAACCCTGGCTTCATTATTTATTGACTTTGTGACCTTTGTGCAAATCTCTCAACTACTCTGAGCCTCAGTTTCCCCAACCAGTTAACACTATTTAATCTATCTGGAGGGACATCTGCCAAAACCAAAAGATGACACAGGATAATAAAAATGATCGTCCATTTAACAGATTTGAAAACTAAGGCTTGGGAAAGAACTGGCCTATGGCCATATATCAAATTCCCAGTGGATCCAGAAAGAGGACAGGAGGTTGGGCTGAAGCCAGAGCGGGTGAGGAAGAGGACATGCTCGAGGAAAGAGTCTGCATCACCCTGGAAGTTGGGAACAAGCAGATGATTCACCCTGTTCCCTCAGTCTGTTATCCATCAAGCTCCACCAGGTGCCAAGCACAGCACTAGGCACTGAAAAAGGAGAGGAGATCCAGACCTTCAAACGAAGCAGGATTCGGAAGACCTTCGGGCCGGCTGGTTTTCTGTCTGGGGACAGGTATTCACAGCTGCGAGGGCTCACTCCCAGCCTGGGTCAGTCCTGACAACGGCCCCATATGGCCCACTGTCCTGCACACATTAACTCACATGCGTAGAATGCAAGGGCAAACCAACACCGCACAGACATGCTCAAGGAATCATCAAGTCTTCCCAGGCTTTGGGAGGGGCAAGAGAGAAGGGTTGAGAAGAGGTCAATGAGGAAAATGCAACCATGGGCAGAGGGAACTAAGGAGGTGAGGGGCAGTGGGGGCAGCAGGTCCGGGCACTGAGAGTCCCGCGGGCAGCCAGAACCCTCCCCACAGCTGGCCTCCCTGCCTGCCACACCCCAGCAGTCACACCGCCCACCACCAGCCACACCCCTCAGTCCCAGCTCCACCAGCCACCCTGCCGGGGCCTGCCCCACCCACCACATCCAGCACTGCAAAGAAAACCCTCCACATTTGCTTTCCAGCTGTGCAGGAGTTTCTCAGAGCAATTACACCCCTGGGAGGCTGAGAGAGAGAAGTAAATCCCTCCTCCCCTGGTATTCATTGTGGAGCCCCCACCCCGCTGCAGTGCTGCCTGGCCTGGGGCCAAGCTGGCCACCCGTCAGTCACCTCACCACTACCACCAGTGGGACTGTCAGCAGTCTGGCTGGGAGTCACAGCACAGTCCCATCTGCAATGAGCACACGGGGACACTGAGGCCTGGAGAGAGAAATGGGCAAGAAACCCTGGCACCAGGCTGCCAGGTCTGCCCCACTGTCACCTCAGCCCTGCTCATATTCCTGCATGGCCAGTCTCAGCTGGGAGGGGGACTCCGCTGGCTGTGGAATTAAATGTTCCCTGTGGGTGCGTCTCTCTGCACCCCTGTCAGGCCCAGCAGCAGCCGTCTCCAGGAAACACTGGCTTCCCACCTCCGTGGACCACCCTCCAAGGCCTCCTACCAATGGCAGGTGCACCCTGCCCAATTACCCGCTTCCGGAGTCTGCAACAGGGAATCTCCAAGCTAAAAGTAGTAACAACAGTAACTTCCATTTCTTAGAATGCATGTGTCTGCATCATGGCTATTATTTCACCCCTCAGTAGCATCATGACCTATGTTTTCCCCATTTTACAGTTGAGGAACTGAGGCCAAGAGACCCACGGCATTGATGGGTGAGTAACTGGGAACCTCAGCACAGAGCTGGGTTCTCACTACTCCCTTGAGACAGCTGACACTGCCAGGCCCTACACATCCTGTCTGCTCCCTTTCGTGTGTGTTTTAACCAGTGGCTAACGGTAGCTCCTAGAAGCAGCCCCACAAATGCCCCACCAGTCAACAGGTGTGAAACCCAACTCAAAGCCTATTTTTCAACTTGAGAGTTAGTCCCGGGCACCCTGGCCGGCAGGGAAGGCACACAAGAAAGCCCCGGGAATGTCACCACCACTTACTGGGAACTTTCTCTGAATGTGGTCTGAGTGGAGTGCTCACCTTTGTACCCGGTCTGAAGAAAAGGTTGACCAGGCAAACAACCTGAACGGCCTGGGGGGCAGGGCTGCACGGGGACTCGGACAGGCCAGGGCTGGCTGTGCTCCAGCCCCACAGACAAGCTCCACTGATCCCCCAGAGGCTGCCGACAGGGAGGGCTATTCATTGGGCCACAAAGCTTCTCAAAAGAGGGTTCTCGGTTCACCCCCCAAATCTGCCAAGGAAGGAGTCAAATCCAACCCCAGTTACTCTTCCTGGGTTCTGATCACAGACGCTTACCAACACCACACCTCCGTCGTTGACAGCAGCAGCCAACATGGGCTGATCTGTGAAAGTCACCGGGGCTGTACTAAGAGCTTCCCTTCTTTACCTCTCTCAGTTCTTATCCTCACACACAGGCGGTGCCACTGCACTGCACATGCAGTGACAAGAAACTGCTTCTTCAGATGGAGACTGGGAGAGGACAAGTCCCTGACTCAAAGTCACACAGCTGGTGGAAGGAGAGTCAGAATGGCATCTCCCAGCCCACCTCAAAGTCCCTTCCTAACCTAGGATCCTGGTGCCCACATCCCATACCACTCCTCAGCCAGCTCCACAGCCCGAGAAGCAGCTTCCTGCAGGCACCAGTCCCAGGGCTACGGACCCAGCTTCTCTAGCGACAGGTGAGCTTCACACCAGCACAGCTTACCCGGGCAGAGGGGCACATCCACTCCAGGGGGAAGGGCCTCATGGTCCCACCCCAGGACCCACAGCAGAGGGGTAGCCTCCATTACCCCGTCAGGGCCTCGTGCTGAGGAAGAGGGGAGAGGCAGAAGAGGGTCAGAATGGACACTCCCTGCTGGCAAGACAACTCAGGGATGATGGTGACCAGCAGCCTCACGGACTCGGTGCATGTCGGGCCAATACCACGCACTTCCCCATCACTGCCTCCGTTATTTGTCATTTATTCCCACTGCAGTAAGAAGCAGTTGTGTGCCCGGAGCTTCTCCCATCTGCCTGCCCTGCAGAGAAGCTGGACACCCCAGCCTGAACCTCCCACATACCCAGCTCCACGCTGCCAGGCATCCCAAGAGGCTCTGAGAAGCAGGCCCATGGCTCCATCGCACAGATGCAGGAGCCAAAATCCAGGTGTCACCCATGAAGCATCCCTGGCTCTGTGTCGCCTCCTAGTGAGCCAGGCTCCCAGCCTGTGCGGTGGGGAGCCAAGGACAGAGTGCTGACAGAGGAGGGGAGTCTCAGCGCCTCCAACGCTGGCTGTGTGTCTCTGGGCAGCACTTTTCCTTCTCTGAGCCTCTGTTTCCTCAGCCACATAAGATATGTGGACCACAGCAAAAGTCTGACTTTCTGAGAAGCTAATGATGGTTGCTAGCAGACTCCAAGACACATAAATTCAGACCGGCCCCTGCTGAAAGCCACAGAAAGAACATGGAAACGCAGCAGCAGTGCCTCATCGTTGACAAGCCCTGGTTCTCCTGAAGCCACAAATGTTGCGTCTTACTCCTTGGGACTCATCATTCCACGTCCCTCGGACCCTAAAGTCAGTCTTCACTCTGACATCTGCTGGACGCAGGCAGATTTGTGGATGGATCTATCTGTTCATCCAGGGGTGTTGCAGAACCTGGACGCTTCCTGCACACTCCGTTTTCGCCTCTGCAGTCTTCCAAGTCAGCCTGGGCCACCTCTCTGGGGCAGTGGCAGGAGCTGGGATGCTTGAGGACCCCGCTCCTGATCCTGACTGCAGCTGGAGCCTGCACTGAGCTCCAGGCCATACCCACAGGTCCTCCCGCATGGGAGGTACACACAATGCGCCCGCAGTCGGACACACCTAGGACAGCTGGACAGGACAGAGAACCTGGGACAGTGGTCAGGGTGCAGGGAGGCCAGGCCACACTGGGGGAGCCAGGGAGAGTGACAAGACCCACCAGAGTTCGGCTGCTCCAGGCGGCTGCTCCCACTCCTCTGTACTTGGCTGCGTCTTCTCAATGGCTCCACAATCCTCACTTCACGCGGCTGCACCTAATCCCAGAGCCAGGACAAACGGCATTACTGTCGGCCCAGTCTCCTCCCCAGAAGGGAGGGAAGGAGGAAGGGAGGGCGGTGGCCTTAGGGCACCGCCAGCCACCAACCACGTTCCTGGAAACCTCTGCCACCCTCACCACCTCCCTTGCTCTTTCTCTGGGATGCAGAGCAGCCCCTCCCCATGTCTGCCCCAGGTCTGGGGGCCCCACAGCAGGCAGGGCCCCACCTGAAGGAGAAAGCATGTCCCCAGCTCTCATGCCAGTGGGTTCTTTGGTCCTTCTCAAGAAGAATGGCAGCCAGGCGTGGGAGGGGCCCTCACTGGCAAAAGGGACAAGGGGCCTCCAGCTCTGCCTGATTTCCCACGTGACCCTAGGCATGCCTCTCTCCATGCCTCAATTTCCCCACTTGTCCTGGGAAGAAGACTGATATCCCCTCAAGATCCAGCTGGTGGGCAAAGGGTCTGTACCAGTGACTTTTGGCCCCGACCGTCGGCTGCCAAGCCCTTCCCGTTGCCCCGCCCTGCAGAGAAGAAAGGTGACTGGCGGAAGTGCTGAGAGGATCAGTGGCTGTGCCAGTGTCAAAATGCTAGAGCTGAAAATGCTTTACCAAGCCAAGGCCCAGACGGGAGAGGCAACTCAGCCCTGGTCACACCGCGAACTGGAAAAAGTCAGGCCAGCCTAGGGCAGCCTGGAGGTTTTCCAGTTTCCCAGGGCTGGTGTGGCTTCTTGGCACTCTGAGTGTCCACCTCAAAAAGTGTGTGCCTCCTTAGAGGGTGCCAAAGGTAAGCACAAGGCTCTCTGCTAATGACAGTATCTCAGGCCCCGATGACAGTAATGGAAAGACAGTGTTTGATGTCTGGGACCTGGGATGAAGGCTGGCCCAGGCTTCCAGCTTCTCCTTCACACCATGAGGGTGGCCTGGGGTGCGGACGGTCTCAGGGAGCTCCTTAGGAACCCTTCCAGGGATTAACAGCCTCGGGCCCCCTGAAGAAGTCACCTGAGGCCCCGCAGTGGCGATGGGGAGCCTGGTGCAGAAGAACTCCCTGAGATCAGCTGGCTCTGGAAGAGGCCAAAGCCCCGGAAAACTGAAAAGCCTCCAGGCTCCAGGGCGGGGATTGGGGGGCAGGCTGGGATGGCACAGAAGAAGGGAAAAGCCCAGAGGTGCTTGGGGCTACAGAAGTCTCCGAATCTCCTAGAGGCCTGGTGGGCACAACACAGGGCCTGCTGAGACCAAGGAGGCAGCGGCAAGGGCCCACATGAGAGCAGCCTGTCCCTCCAGACCTGCTGGGGCTTGTCAGCGCCACAAGAGCCTGCGGCCAACCCGCCTCCTCGCACCTCGGGTGTCAGGGGCTGGGCACATTTCCAGCAGGCATGGCTGGGGGCAGGGCCAGGGTGGTGCTGGTGGGCAGAAGGCCCAGCTTTCTCGAGAGCTCAGACACAGCAAAAAATGCCAGGTGACCTACTTCACCAGGCCCCTAATGAAGGGGACCAAGGCTTCAGTGAGACTAGTAAGTGACCCCTGGTGTCCTCATCAGTTCACAGGGTCAGTCCCAGATCGGGCAATAACCAGAACCTTGCTCAGCAAGGCCAGCAAGGGCCAGGGAATAGCCTTAGGAGGGCCTCACTCTGTGCAGCCTGCACACCCGTGCTGGACACTTCCAGGGACTGTGGCTGGAATGCCTCACTGGCCTCAACCTCAGTCCAGCCCTGGACTAACCTGCCGTGACCTCAGGCAGCACCAGTCCTTTCTGGGCTTTCTTTATGTTCACACACAGAGCAGAACTGCACCAGATGATTCCATGGACCTCCTAGCACTGAGTGGGTAAACCTACAGGGCGCATAATGACCTCTGGCAGACCCCCAGCTCCACAGAACCCCACCACCCGGCACACAGGCAGCGAAGAGCACTGTGTACCACCGCCCCACGGCACCAGGTGCTGGGCTCTTTGCTAACTTCATGGCCTCCACGTCAGCAGGGCCTCATTTTGCAAATGTGGAAACTGTGGTTCATGCAGGTTGAGCAACTTGTTCAGCCTCCCACCTGGGAAACGCTTAGCTGAGATTCAATCCAGCAGCATCTAGCTCTTAATCCCCATGTTCCATGGCATCAGCCACTGAGAACCCAAAACCACTAGGCCTGAAAATGCCACGGGGTCTTTGCACCTCCCACATTTCCTAGCATGTGACGCTGGGGTTAACGTGCAAGGCGGCTGGGATCAGGCGGGTATAGGAAGCCTGTGTGGGCACTGAGCATTCTGCAGACTGACCAGCCTGCAGCCAGCCAGCCGTTCGCCACTGTGGTTACAATGTCCTCATTGCCACCAGCACGCTACAGCCACCACCTGCCATTTTTAAATCGTTACATACTCAGAGCTTTTTCACAGGCGTTGCTTTGGCAGCACATGACAGTTTCATCTAAGCACTGTTGGGATTTCTTCCCCCTTTCTTGGAAGAGGAAACTAGGGTTCCCGGAGAACGAAGGACTCCCCGAAAAGCACACAGAGAGGTGGTGTTTCAGAACGAGCCCAGGGCCCAGCTCCTCCGCCACCCCACACAGGTCTGGGTCTCCCTGTGCGCCTGCCGATCCTGACGGGCCTCTGTGATAACGATGTGCGTCCTCGTCACCACCCCTCAGAGCTCATGCAGTGTCAGCGCTGTACATGTTCTCAGGCACCGTCTCCACACCCGCTTCGTCAGCGCTGCCACTGCTCTCACTGCACAGACAGGGTGCTGAGGCTCAGGGCCATCATGCCCAGGGTCAGCGGGCTAGGAAGGGACAGAGCCGGCATTCAAACCCACACAATTGAGCCCCAGAGCCTAAGGCCCAAACCTCTATGCTGCACGGCGCTGTCTGGGAGGCTCCATCCCAAGCCGTCACCGGAAGGGGACAGGAGGCCAGACACATCAAGCAGTGTGTGCGCCTGGCAGGGCATGGCAAGATTACGATAATAGGAGGGCAAACAAAGCTCTCGGGAGCCTGCAAGAGGGAGGCTGGTATGAACGTCTGTCCGGGCAGCAGGCCAGGAGTCTGAGCAAAGGACATGGGAACAGGAGGAGGCAACAGATAGGAGGGGGAGGCCTTGTGAGACCTTGGTCAAGTGCCCTGCTCCCTCTGGACCTCAATTTACCCAGCAGTTAAGGAAAATCCCAGGAATATCTCCAGAGCCCTCGACTTCCTGCGAGGCCCTTGGACCCTGGGAAAACAAGCAATGCCCAGTGACACCCTGGTTACAAGCCCCGGGGACTCTACAATGTCCTTGGCTGTCCTGGCACAGGGCAGCTGCTGGAAAACAGAAGCTTGCACAAGCGAAGGGCTCGGCTGGCATGCCTGGGCACCAGTGAAGTGTGGGTCCTCAGGGGGCCCCATTCCGCCCACTGTCAGCCTCTCCAGGGCTCCACTGCAGCAGGCACCACCCAGCCTGGACTCAGACCAGGAGCTGAGGTCACATCCAAGTGCCCAGTGGAATGCCACTCCAGGCCCTGCCCTGCCCCACAACTCCATATGCTACTAGCTTCTTAAAAAAATATAGGGCCTCACTATGTTGCCCAAGGCTGGAGAGATCTTCCTGCCTCACCTCGAGTAGCTGGGACTGCTGGCATGAGTCACCATACCTGGCTCAAGAGCCCTGTACGTTACCTCAGAACCATTGCTGTCACTACTCCCCAAAACCCCTCACCCACATTTCCATAGAGCTGACAGCTAGGATGACCACAAGGAATTCTAGAGGAGACTGTAAAGAAAAGGACCACCTTCATCTCCAAGGGACCTGTGTCAGACAGAGGCTAGGTCAACGAAAGCCCTTGCCTAGGGAAGGAGCAGAGAGTCCGTGAGGGCCGGCCCTCAGAAGGCGGGAGGAGCAGGGACTTCCCAAGAGGACTCAGCCTAAGCCTCTGCGATCACCGATCACCGTGATCGATCACAGCTGTCCCACCAAACCACATGGCCAACAAGCTCCTGCTCTGTAACTGCCTCTGGCTCCCACCCCCACTAAGCTGGGTGGGATGGGCCACTCAAGCCCGTTTCTACCGACCTCTATCAACTGGTTCAGGCTAGGGCCTTTGCTCAGCGCTTTCTGAACACAGTGGCACCTCTGTACTCATAGTTAATTGTTTCCCGGAGCCAAGATGAGTACCCAAAACAACTAGTACCAGAAAAATTGTTTGGGCTGGGAAGGGCTGCAAGTCATGAAGCAATTGACACCAATAAATTCTAGCTTTTTTTTTTTTCAAGCACTAAACAAATGACAAGTACCCGAACATAATTTTCATGTCAAAAAGCATGGAGTACCAAATTTAACAAGTTTCAAAGGAGGTGAGTATCAAGATAGGACTGTATTTCTCATTTAACCCTCACAGTAACACTGGGAAGCAGGTCCTAGGAGTGGCCCATTTTTACAGATCAGAAAATCCAGGCTCAGAGTGGTTATGTCACTTCCCAGAGTCTCTCAGCCAAGTGGCAGACGCAGGATTCACACTCTCACCCTCTTGACTCCAAGTCTAGATTCTTAAGCACCAGATTCTTAACATGCCAGCTCCACAAAGACATCCTGCTGGCCTCAGAACTTGGGGCCAGCTCAACACCCCTGCACACAGGGCTCTCCGCTGGTAGCAGAGCCAGGAAAAGGCCTGAGGCCTCCTCTTCCAGCCTCCCCAGCCCCACCTACGAAGCTCACCAGGCAGAAAGGCCACTGGGGACTGTGACAAGTGCCCAGATTGACTTCTTCCTCTGTACAGAAAGAAGGGGAAAGCAAGAGGTCCGCAGGAAGAGGAAAGAAACTAAAGGGGCCACGGAGCATTGGTTCTCACAGGACAGACTTGGAGCAGGAGCCAGAGCAGAGGCTCCCAGCAGCAACTAAAGGCCAGGGCCCTCTCTCCCACCAGCATCTCCCATGCCAGTGTCGCCTCCAGCCTCACAGGGCTTACTGGCGATCTCCATTTCCTTCGCAAGGCAAGCCGGCCGCCCTGCTCCCGCCCCACGTCTCAGTGAAGGCAGTGCTG